CCCCTCCCTTCTTCAGAGCCAGGCACTCCCCCCCACCCCCCGCTCTAACCCAATCTCCCTCTCTTCCCTTCCCCAGAACCAGGCACACACAGCCCCTAACCTAGTCTTCTTCCCCAGAGCCACGGACACACCCCTTTCCCAATCCCCCTCCCCTTCCCCAGAGCCAGGCACCACCATCCCTCTAGCCCAATCCTCTCCCCCTCCCCCAACATAATTCTTGGGTCCCAGAGGCAGAACCACTGCTGCTACAGCCACGTGTAACAGACAGCTGGGATCCTGTCTCAGGAAGCGTCCTGGCTGCTCTTCCCCTTCCCTTTCCCAGACATCCCCTCCCCTCACCCCCGCTCTAACCCAATCTTCCTTCCTTCTTCAGAGCCAGGCACTCCCCCCCACCCCCCGCTCTAACCCAATCTTCCTCCCTTCTTCAGAGCCAGGCACTCCCCCATCCTGCCTCTAATCCAATTCCACTCCTCCCTGCTCTAACCTAATTTTTGGGTCCCAGAGCCGCCGCCGCTGCTACAGCTGCGTATCTCCCTCCGGGCACATGCACTGAGCAGCGGGCATGCCATGCGCACTCCTGCAACTCAGTCCCCTTCCCTCCCCAGAGCCAGACACCTCCCTTCCCCGCTCTAACCCAATTCCCCTCCCCCCCAATATAATACTCGGGTCCCGGAGCCAGAGCTGCTGCTGCCGCCACTACGACCATGCACATCCGGGATGCCATGTGCACCTCTACCCTTCTCCTACTCCAGAGCCAGGCATCTCCCCCCGCTCTAACCCAATTCCCCTCCCCCCCAATATAATACTCGGGTCCCGGAGCCAGAGCTGCTGCTGCCGCCACTACGACCATGCACATCCGGGATGCCATGTGCACCTCTACCCTTCTCCTACTCCAGAGCCAGGCATCTCCCCCCGCTCTAACCCAATTCCCCTCCCCCCCAATATAATACTCGGGTCCCGGAGCCAGAGCTGCTGCTGCCGCCACTACGACCATGCACATCCGGGATGCCATGTGCACCTCTACCCTTCTCCTACTCCAGAGCCAGGCATCTCCCCCCGCTCTAACCCAATTCCCCTCCCCCCCAATATAATACTCGGGTCCCGGAGCCAGAGCTGCTGCTGCCGCCACTACCACCATGCACATCCGGGATGCCATGTGCACCTCTACCCTTCTCCTACTCCAGAGCCAGGCATCTCCCCCCGCTCTAACCCAATTCCCCTCCCCCACTAACCTTATGTCCAGGACCCAGAGCCACTGCTGGCACCGCCACCGCACCCGGATTCCTCACTGCTGCCTGCACTCAGCAACCAACTGCTTGCACGTGCAGGCTGGGATGCTGTGTGCGACCCAGCCTGCACATGCAGGATATGACGCAGTGCACTGGGGGCTGAGAATGGAACAGCGCAGGCCGTGAGAACACATGCAGCTCCCAGCGGCCCGGCCGTGAGAGCGGCTGACCTGAGTGGTTCCGGGTTCCGTCTTGGTTCTGTCAAGAGCCGCGGGTTGGCCACTGCTGGACTAGGGGATATATAGGCAATATTGTCATTAAAATGTCTCTTGAATGTTCTTCTATGAATTGCAATGCATAAGGAAAGGGTAATGGCAATATTTAATATTTGGGTGTATATGTTGTTGCAACTTAGAAAAAATCTTGCATATGTGGTCTGGCCAGGATAATTGTATAATAGCTGCTTTCTATGCTAAATAAAAAGGGAAAAGTTAAATTTCTTATGGTATAAGAGGAGCTTAAAACAACATATAATATGTTTCATTAGTCATCTGAAACCATTCCTGGTTAGTTAATGAAAAAAGTCTGGTTATCAAATTTCTATTTTTTTTCAATGAATTTGAAATTCTGTTTGTTAATCTTTTCTTTTAGCATTTAAAAAAAAAGTCAATACAAATTGAAAAAAGAACACTTTAATAAAAAACGAAATATGTCAGGACACAGCTGGAGTTAAACATTTAGCTGGAATTTCTGTTGCCTTTGGAATTTGTCAGCATAGAAATGACAATGATATATTAATGTGTTTCCTGTATGTTAACAAGGACGAGAAGATCACACAGATCTGATTACGCTTTACCAGTTCTTTCTGCTGTTTTGAAATAAAAACAAAAGGACAGATTGTATTGAACACAGCTTATTTTTGTATATTCCTATTTTGTATCTAAGAATACATCTGCACTGTTGTACTCTTGAAGTCTCTGGGGAATATGCCACATTGTTGATGTCTCTCTATGCCTTACATTATTGCCTTTGCCTTTTGTGCAGGTGTGAATGGAAACAAGTGTTCAGGGTCATCTACTATTCTTGAGAAATACAGAGTGGGAAAAGTGATTGGTGATGGCAATTTTGCTGTAGTAAAGGAGTGTGTAGAACGGTAAGCAAGGAAGTTGTTTAGATATTTTTCAGTTTCTTTTAAACCGTTGATTTCATGAAATAACATCCAGTATGTCCGAGACATTGTATGTAAGAAAATGTAAATAGAGACATACATAGTATAAATGTATGTCTATAGATAGAACGTATGACCAAACAAACAGAAAATCAGTCATGATGGTGCAAAAATGAGAAGTAAATGTGACTTATAATTTGGACAGCAAAGAAAGTGTTTGGATGAGAAAAAAGGCAGAGAAAATATTTCAAATTAACAATCTCGGGACTGTATCTGTTATCCTTCTACTGCAATAGCCATCCATGTCTCCTAGCTATGTAGATAAGTTTATGCTGTATACAATGCTTTACAAGAATATTTCTAAGTTCAGTGTATGAACATGAGGGAATATCACCCAAAACATGGGAAGAAATTGGGTAAGCAAGAGCTATTTAGCAAATTGGGCACATGTAAAAAGTGTTTGTGTGTATTTATTTGTATTTGGCCATGATTGTTAGTGAATGGGATGCTCTTTAAATGGCTAAAAATATGAGAACCATCTGACACTGTCCACTGATAAAACAATTAGGCTACATTTTCAGTGCAAGTTCTTCTGGCAGAAAATCTGCTAATGAGGGACTCATTAGCATAAGGTGTGGTCTCATTAGCATATTTTCTGCCATTTCATTTTCCGCAAAAAGAAGCAGTGTGGACCGGGGGTGGGAGGTTGCACAAAAACTCCATTTTGCACAAGAGCCTTATGCTCGTCCTGGAGAGGCATAAGGATCTTGTGCAAAATGGAGCTTTTTTGAAAAAAAAAAAAATCACCCATGCACACTGCTGCTTTTTGTGCAAAAACCCCGAGCGCAAAAAGGAACGGCAAAAAATATGCTAATGAGTCCCTCATTCGCATATTTTCTGTCGGAAGAACTCGCAGTGAAGACATAGCCTTACATGGGTTTCTTGGACTAGTAGTATAGTATGACTCCCTCTGGTAAGACCATGGATGTTCCTGGACCAGGGAGTCCTAGCTGGGAGCTCCATTGGCAGGGGGGCTGGAGGCTCAGAGCCCAGCAGCGCTGGGGCTGGGATTTGTAGCAGGGCTGGGGACATGGCAGTCTGGGTTGCCAGGGATGCAGCAGCCCAGCAGGGGATGCAACTAGGGCTGGCAATGGGGAGGGGATGTGAGCTGGAAGGGATGTAGCAGAGGGCCTCCCCAGGTCTGGCAAATTCCCTCGTTCAGGACCAGCCAGGTCATGAGGATGCGAGACCAGAGAGATCCAACCTGGATTTTGAAGAATTTCCAACTTTGTCAATAGTAATTATTTTTGTTCTAGCAATTGCCTGGGAGAGGTTTGGAGCTCATAGAAATAGTTCTCATGGTTTAACCACTATAAGCAGTTTCTTTTTAAGAATTCATATGGGGCTTTATATTCAGATGCTCCTGGAGCAAAGAAGTAATTGTGAAGTGAAGTGTCTCTTTATAGTTTTAACAGCTAATGAGAGAGTTTCAAAGCTCTCTCATGCTTTACATTTATAGCCTGGAACCAGTGCTAAGGGAGAACTCTCCCAGCACTCGGTGAAAACCACCTAAACAGTGTTGGGAGCCCGTTTACCCTGGCGCTTTACAGCACTGTAACTTGCTGTGCTCAAAAGGGTGTGTTTTCATACCCTTGAGCAAAACAGTTGCAGCACATTAAAGTGGCAGTATAGACATGTCCCAAGTCTGATTCATCTAGAGAGATGTAAGATCATGCTGGCTACCACTGTTGAACCTAGTACCTGCATCTTCACCTTATTGGATTCAAGTATGTTAAAAAATAACTCATAACTCTGCCATTATTATAGTTTCCTCAAAGTCTTGTTTCTTGTTGCTATATCCAGATAATTCCTCACCTTAAACCAAATACATACTGGCAGCCAGTACACCAAAACCCTTAGGACCTTTTCAACCTGATCTAGCCTCCGAAATCTACAGTGACTACTTGCAAATCAGTTTTCTCTTCTTTCCAAAAAATGCATTTGGAGTCTCAGGGCTTTTCTCTGCTCAAAATTTGCTCTATAAATGCAAACACCCCTTAGGCAAAGAAAATAAAACCAAGCAAAATGTAAATTGTAGATAAGCCAATCTGAAATCGAACTGCCCCTGCCAAAAACTGGCAGACTAATAACAAATGAAGCAAAAAAGCAGAGCAAAGTCCTTAGTTTGGCTATTGTGCATTTCTTCTCTGTCATGATTCCTCTGACGATGCTTATGCTTAGTTTTAATGCTTAGTATTAGTAACTTTTTGTCTTCTGTTTTTACACATCAGAAAAATGTCATACAAATATCCAAGCTTATATATTAAAAAATGAGTATTAGAGGACTTTTGATGGAATTACTTCCTAAACCAAACCACATAGCATTAAGCCTAAACCCTAATGCTTTTCAATGTGTGACAAGAGCTCTTTTAAAGTAGTAACTGTGCACACTGGAGTCAAATGTAGCTATCGCTCAACATTAACATCTCAATTCTCGAACATTCAAAGAACAATTTTTCCAGAAGCCTCAGTTTTCAATAAACTTCACCAGCTCAGTGGGGAAACAAGTGTGATGTTGCTTAGAAAGCTTGAGGCAAATGTACAATTCAAAGAATTTTTAAAATGTATCAGACGACATAGCCAGTCTTCTTTTAACATAAATGACAGTTCAGAGGATTCCCTTTCAAGTGCAGATTTGAAAGTCTTCTGGAGTAGGATGCATGTAATTAGGGCCTTTGGTATATATGGTTGTGACTATTTTCTTCCACTATTTGATCTGAGGAAGTGGGTCTGGCCCACGAAAGCTCATCATCTAATAAACCATCTTGTTAGTCTTTAAAGTGCTACATTGTCCTGCATTTTGCTTCTAGTAACCAGATTTCCATACAGTTCACTTGACTGGAAACTAACCATGAAAGACTCAGTCACAATAACTGGACACTGATTTATGATGTGAAGGCACAAATTTGCTGTGCTTGATGCACCCTGATTCTGACTACATTTCAGTGTAGATTCAACAGTACTACTTAGATCTCAAGACATTTTAGGATAAAGATGTCTGATCATATTTTTGTAAGTGTCTAAATTCGATTTTCAGAATCACCTACATTTTGATGAAAGTCACTTGGACTTAGGTTCCTAAGTGACTCACTTTCATAACTTTACCCGAACACTTTAAAAAGAAAGTTTTACCTTAAGGAAGGTGCTACTGAGAGAGAAATGTTAATTATAAACACTCATCTGCTTGTTGCTCTTTTATTAATTGTATTACACAGCACCTAGAAGCATTAGTCATGGTCTGCTAGGTACTGTATAGACAAAACAGAACAGTCTTTGCCCCAAAGAGTTTACAATCTAAGACAAGAAACAATAGATGAATATAGACAGAGCAGAGTACAAGGGAACAATGAAACCCCACATAGTCAGCATGATAAACTGTGGTATGAGCACACCAGTGGGCTAACCAGTGTCAAGGTTATTACCAGTATCATGACACAGAATTTTAAGGAGGGATTTGAAGAGTAACGAGGTAGGGTTGTGGATGTTTATAGAATGTAATCCCTGCTATGTGACACAAACTGAACATTTTGCACATATCTTAACTGGATTTTGCAGTGTGTTTATCAGGCTTTTGGATAATTGACTCTCTGGATCATGATTCATAGATTGCAATTCTCAATTTTCCTCAGTGCCCATAATACAGTTTTACATGGCTCTATAGTAAATATAAGAAGATGGTATTTTTAATTCTCAAATGCTGCTTAGATAGAATATCTTCTGATGTGCTACACTGAATCAGGCTGTAACTATGACAACCTAGCAGAGACAGCTCCACTTTCAGAGCAGTGGTGCTCTTAATATACTGCAGTGTTCAGCCAGGAACAATTTTAATGCATGAAATTTAATTCTTTTTGTGTGGTATTGGTATTTATTAGTTGTATCCAAAACAAAAAATATTACTGGCTATAATTAGCTATAAACTTAAAAAATATACCTGGTATTTCTTATTGAGATTCTATTTTGTAACAAGCATTTGTATTTGTACAGCATCTCATATGCTGGGGCTCTGATCTTACTTGGGTATTTCGAGTACAGTTGCAATACAAATAATAAATAGGAATAGGAATGCACTTACTGAATTTCCTGTGTTGTTTTTAAATTGTTTACTGAAGGTCATTCACAACCATGAGAAACAATGTTTTCTTCATAGACAATGGAGACAATTTGCTCTTGTGGCTTTTCCCTCTTTCATGTGGAGAACATGTTTAGATCTGAACATGGCTGACCAACTGTAAAACTTAGAGTAACCTCCTACCTTACTGGAGGAAAAGTCCTCTTATACAAGAAAATGATCACCTCACTCTAGGTTTTGCAGAACCATCCTGTAGAATTCTATCAGTTCTAAAGTCTTATAGAATTGAATGGCCACTGAAGACTCTTGTGTAGTAATTGCTACAGAATCCTATAGTTTTCTTCCCTACTAATTTCTATGGGACTTTTCTCCATAAAGGCTATCAATAGTCTCGGCTGTTGTCTTTCTGCTCAGCCTATACAGTAGCTGACAAGCAGACCTATACTCTGACCTGTCTTCAAAGTGTGGTTACAGGTTGCCATTTGAACAGAGCTACATGAAATTTTAGGGCAAATTTTTGCATCTGGAATTAGAATAGCAGCAGAGTGTAGCATTAGATCACATTAGGGACACTGCTATGACCTGGGATTAAAGCATACACAATAAAGTAGGTAATGGTAGCCAAGGAAACCACAGGCAGGAGTGTGACTGGAAGAAAGGAGGGAAAAAATGAAATAATTCCTACCATTTTCTGTCAGCTGTTCCCTGGGTAACAAGGTTATATTATGAGTATTATGTATTCTGGGCATTTAATGAATGTTTCTCCTGTTTTTCTTTTAGATCCACTGGAAAGGAGTTTGCATTGAAGATTATAGACAAGGCAAAATGCTGTGGAAAGGTGGTGTACACTCATTTACATATGGACAAAGAGTAAAAATAGCAATCACAGCTGTTCATTAGTCAAAATGTGTGTGTATGTGTGTGCGCATGGATGTGGGTTTGATGTAAATGACTGCTTTCAGATATATCTGTTTAGCGGGATTATTTTCCACCCAAAAGGCAAACAATTAGGAATAGTATCTGTGTAAATCTAGTGGATAATGGAACAAAATCAAACAAAAATTGTACTTGATCCTATTGGACAAAAGGAGAAAACATGAAGTATTTCCACAATTGTTCTCCCTTCATTAGGCTGAAATGGAATAAAAATGTGAAAAGAACAGCATAGTGACTTTGATTGTAAAATCTTTGAGGGAGGAAAAGTGTGTGACCAGCACCTAGCATAATGGGACCCAATAGTGAATATGAAAGCAATTCTAAGTATAAAGGCCCCACTATCTTGTGACCCACATAAACAATAGCAACCATTGTAAGCAAAGTTAATGTGGGATAAATTCCTGCAGTCCGTATTCAATCATAACAGCCTATTTTATTCTTAGGGGATAAATGCTATTCTTTCTTCTGTTTCTATTGTACCTAAATTTCTGCCTTGTTACTTATGTTTTCCTCTTAATAGGGTGCTGCTATTTTGACCTTTATACAGATGGACTTTGAAAACAGTATTCTATTGACTAGTGATAACATCCCCATCCCTTTCAAATAATACTTATTGATAAAACTATTGTTTGTAGCTTTAAGTGGTGAATTGAGAAGTTCAGATTCTGTTAACTGGGAAACATATCAAACTTCTTTTCTGTCTTAGTCCCATGTGTCATAAGCAAATATTGGAGAACTGAGGCCAATATCTTAAGAACATTACAGGCACAAAGTGAAAGGAATCTCTTTAGCTGTTTTCTCTTCTCCACTTTTATGGGAGGCTTTCCTGGGAGTTTCTTTTGCTATACAAGATCTGTGGCTGGTTGTCAAATGAGTGAAAAAGAATAGTATGTACATGGTTCAGGCTGAAGTAGTATAAACACCAGCCTACTGGATTGACTGTGAGAGAGTTCCTAAGCAGAGAGATGTGAAAGAAACAGAATCTGAATCTATGAAAAGTTACAGTATGGAATTTTTGAAAACATATATTCTAATAAACTATAACATTTCTGGTTGGGACACTGTCTTGGGATGTGGGAGATCCAGGTTCAATATCTTGTTCCACCACAGGCTTCCTGTGTGATCCTGAGCAAGTAAATTAGAAAAGAAAGAAGCAACCACTGTAAAACAGTTAAAAAGGGTTTTTTTTTGTTGTTGTTGTTCTTGTTTTTGCAATATAATTAAGTACTGGAACTCACTGATGTAATCCATCAAGTTTCAAAAAAAAGTTTAGACAGCATTTTTATCATGTGCCAGCTAATGCATTTGCAGATGCTATTCCTATCCACACAAAGATGCCAGTCCTTATGCTAGAGGCAGTGATCATCATTTGGGGGTCAGGCAAGAATATACTCAAGACATACAGGCAGTCCCCGGGTTACGTACAAGATAGGGACTGTAGGTTTGTTCTTAAGTTGAATCTGTATGTAAGTCGGAACTGGCGTCCAGATTCAGCCGCTGCTGAAACTGATCAGTCTGGACACCAGTTCCGACTTACATACAGATTCAACTTAAGAACAAACCTACAGTCCCTATCTTGTACGTAACCCGGGGACTGCCTGTACTCTCACAGTGCAGGCTTGCAATGAGCTTAAGGGGCTTTAAGTGAGCTTGAATCTTTCTCACAGACTCCAAATGCCATCACTTTGTGCTGACAATCTTGTTGGGGACATGCTGTGAAGGGAAACAGGCAGATGCTGCTTCAGAATTTCCCACTTTTGAGGTCTACTACTGAAGAGGTTGTACAATTGCTGGATTGTTCCAAAGTATGTGATTGTTTCCTTGCATGATTCAGTGCATTCAGCACTGACAAGATTTAATATGTGGTTGCCACAAATGGAGAAAATAGTTTGGATTTTGCTCAGAAGGACTGCTTGTAATCCGTTGTACTTCGTAGCCACATTGGATCCATTGTCAGAGGCTTGGCCGATACAGACCAAAATTTTAATTTTGAAGCCTTTTAGAATTTCTAATAAGTGGTGATTTCTTCTCCAGTTTTTTTATGAAATTATCAAACACAATCATTCTTCAGTTGAAACCTTTGAACTTCCTACAATTTTTGACATATCATGCTACCAAGGTTGTCTTTTCTTTATGAGAACGATATGGAGTTGCACCAAAAGGGAGAAAGAAGAAAAAGGGGGGGAGGGGGAGCAGAGCGGAGCAGAGCAGAGCGGCGGAACGCGCAGCCAGCTGACAGCCCAGACGCTTCTGGGCTGTCAGCTGGCCGCGTGTTCCGCCGCTTTGCTTCCTCTCCCTGGTCTGCTGGAGACCAGGAGAGGAAGGGCCCCGTTCGTAAACTGCGGATCCAACATAAGTCGGATCCGCGTAACTCGGGGACTGCCTGTAGTATTTTGGAGAAATAATGAAATGCATGATGAAAGCTACTTCCCACTCTCCCAGGCAAGAATCTGGGGCAGATAAAATGGTCTGTGCTAGTATGGCAGTTTTTCCTGTTTCAACACGTGTTTGTGTAGATAGCCCATTTTTATGGGTAGTGCACCAAACTCTTTTGTGATATAGCCCTGCTGGAGACACTAAAATCCAGGGATGTTGGAAGAGATTAGCTACAGTACAATGTAATTGTATATTGCATGTGCTGTATATCATATTAACGTGTTCTGTGGGAGGTTTATATAACATACGTAAGAATTTTAAGAATGGCTGTATTGGGTCAGACCAAAGGTGCATCTAACCCAGTTAGTTATGAAGGTAGCAGCTGTAACAATGTATGTGTCAACGTGTGTTACCTGTTTACTGCATTAATCCTAAACTGTCAAGACCTAGTAGTTTACTTTTTGACCCCACCCCATTAAATAGACACCAAGAATATAAGCTAAATTAAGCTATACTAAGGAGATTTAATAATGAGTGACATGGGGAAAACAGTGCTAAAACTCCTTCTCTGATTTGAATGTATTTGCATCCAATCTTACATGTCACGCCTTAAAAAGCATCTGGCCCAAAGATACAGAACTTCTTTATTGAGGATGGTCTTCTATCCATCTCAGCTTATACTAAAATCTATTACAGCAGTGTCGCTGAGGAAGACGTCGAGGTATTTGTGAAAACTAATCTTTAAAAATTTTAATGGAATACAAGTGAGCTGTGCCCCATGCTTGCTGCACTTGACAACCCTCCTCTCTCTGGCCCCTTTTGCAGCTTGAGAGCATGATGATATCATTCTGTCACCCAGCAGGAAAAACTTTTTTATATATAGAGAGAGAAACATTAAGCACAAGATGATTGAAAATTAACCATAAACATGTCAGCATTTCACAAGCCACGTAGCAGGACAGTGATATACGAACATTTTGTAATCTTTTGCACAAATTTTAATTATAATAGGTTCCTACTTAAACCTGCCTAGAAAGAACAATTTAATTGTTCAGACAAGGCCTAAATATTTAGCCAGGGTCAAAATTAAATAATATAATGAATTGATTATGTTGGCTACTTGTTCTTAAAGTTGAGATCTTACTTACTTATAGTAGTATCTCCGATTTTACTTGTTTTGTAATCTTTTGCACAAATTTTAATTATAATAGGTTCCTACTTAAACCTGCCTAGAAAGAACAATTTAATTGTTCAGACAAGGCCTAAATATTTAGCCAGGGTCAAAATTAAATAATATAATGAATTGATTATGTTGGCTACTTGTTCTTAAAGTTGAGATCTTACTTACTTATAGTAGTATCTCCGATTTTACTTGATTCTTTGGTCCTGCTTTTTTAGCTGG